CCCACTAACAGTATTTAAATTCCACCCCTCCACCCACCTTTACTTACTCCCTTTCCGGCCTCCGGGACTTCTTGGAGCCGAGTTATGAATTTTCGTCGCAAACTCCGCCCACTTTGGTCAAGCCCCGCCCACCGATGACAGCTGGCCTCCACTCCTCCACCCACCTCCATCCACCTTTTTCCCGGCCTCCGGGACTTCTTGGAGCCGAGTTATGAATTTTCGTCGCAAACTCCGCCCACTTTGGTCAGCAGCCCCGCCCACCACCTAAGCTCACAAACGCCCATCACGCCTTTTTTCCGGCCTTCGGGACCTTCTTTGCAGCTCGACGTATGAAAATTTTCGTCGCCGAAACTCCGCCCAACTTTCGTTAGTCTGGATGTGGGTTCGGGGCGGTCGAGCCCCGCCCACCATTGACAGCTGGCCTCCACTCCTCCATACACCTCTATCCACCTTTTTCCGGCTCTTTAAGACTTCCCCGACCCGAATTATGAGGGCTTGTAGAAAATGCTGTACACTTCAGAGCGCGCCCCGCCCATTCTGGGCGGGCCTCCGCCCACGTCATGTATGCAGGAAACACCTTAGACATTGCTCCCTTACACCAAATTGTTTTCTGCTCTGTAGGCTTTCTCCCAACCGAGTTATGAAATTTTTCATAAAGCACTGCTTTTTTAGAGAACGCCCCGCCCGTGTCGTATAACTTCGTGAGAACCCTGCCCTCGCAATTCTTACACATGGTTGACCCCCCAGGTCGATCCCGAGGAGTCTAGGAAGAATCTGGTCTCGTGACAGACATATTAGAAACGTACAGACAGGCGACAGACAGACGACCCGACGAAGCCGCTATAAAATTAAGTTAGATATATCGCTTGCATTGCTAACATCGACTTCGCCTCAGCGGTAACCAGGAGGGATCCTGCAGCGTCATCGCAGCCTTCAAGCCGATAATCATTGGCATCAAAAGAATCTCGTCGGCTCCGGCAGTAGATGACGTCCAACCATGAACATGTCTGCTGTGGGGGGATCCCTCAGCAGGGTGAATATCGCTTGAGGATTCCTCAACGGCACGTCGAGGATTCTCTGCCCGGTCAGACACGATCTCTCGCGCGGACATTCACACTCGCCATGGGCGTGCCGTCTGTGCTCTCCGCGCGGATGTTCACTCTCGGCACTACTCTCGCATGGTAGAGAGCTATGGTCGAGGAACCATCCTCCGCCCGCGAAAAAAAAAAAAATTGACGAAAGGACCGTTATTCACCCCTGCAGTCTCCGCCTCGTCCATCTCCCTATGCAAGCTTATAATACGCGTAAAAAAACCGCGGGGCGGAGCATCCGTTGGATAACTCACTCGAACGTGGAGTATCATGACACACGGCTTCTGTGATTGGGAACTTGTTACTTCACCCAAGAAAAGAACTATTCTAAGAATCCTGTCGCGATCCCAATCGCCTCGCCACTAGTAACTCAGATTTGGTGGTGAAAACATAATTCCGCGCTTAGAAGGTAACATTGGGATCGCGTGGCAAGACTCCGCTGACGGATCGTGTTCAAAACGTGACATTCGAGCAATCTGCCCTCCATCTTGAGTAGATGAAAAAGCCCGTCATGAGATCCTGTTCCTACTCCCAGATCGCAGTTATGACGCAAGCAGCGACGTCCGCTGACAACTCAACACCTGGCAATCAATTTCGCTTTGAGCTCCAAGAGGATAGACGGGGGAGCCAAACAACATAGTTTATCAGCAAAATCTTCAATCAACTTTTAGGGCCACCCAGTCCTTAACTTGTGCACTTACCAAACGCATTATCACCACGGATGGCTTATACTTAAGCCTATCATCGGGGCAGGCTCAATCTTAGGCTTGCTACAAGTAAATGAGTGATATCCTAATTTTGGGTAACTTGACCTAAGGAGAAGAACTGAAACAGACCCTATTTGGATCATTCAGCTCAGGTCAAAATGTCCCCAAGCTTTAGTTCTTCCGGGCTCAAAGGTAGACGTCACGTTGGCTGAAATTCTGAGGGCTTATGATAACGTCATCGATCGCCGTTGGAGGCTGAACCTTCAGGAAGCTGAGGGTCTAGTTGCGACCACCTCTTAGCGCCCATCCCCCAAAAATTTAATGACGTCATCAGAACCACACCGCCTTCCAGTCCTCGTGATAAGCTTTGAACGGCAGCAGCTTCGCTTTGGAGTATTGAAGCGGTGAATTCTACATCGGCTTGCAGGCCATTTCTCATTCAAACTTACCTAGGATGCAGAGTGGGACTCGCATGCATGGCAGAGCCCGGGAAGAGTCGAATACTTGATCCTTCGTTCCTTCTTGCAGACGAATAAAATCGATAAGATTCAACTCACAACAAATTTGATCTTTTTCCAGCGAAAACCAGTTGTCCGTCGCACTGCTTTTGCTGGCGGCTTTCCATTTGATTTTTCTGCTAGCAGCACACTACATGCAATGGAAGTTATGTAAGGCGTCGTTAGAAGAGAAGAAACGGAAGGCATCAGAAGCGCTCGACTATGTTTCCAATGTAAGTGACACTGCGAACTCCCCTATATCAATTTCTCACAGGATTTGAGTTCTGCGTGATCTTTTGGCAGTTGCAGATCTCAACGACTCCATTTGCCTATGCTCCATTGGGTGAGCCGTTAGCGAATGATATGCTGACGCAGACAGCGCTTCGTGACGGCAACGTGGTCGCCGTGCCGAGACTGCTTCTTGTCGAAGGAGACGTGATTCTTCTTCGACCTTCTCAGGTGAGTGCCATGCTTTGAATTCAATTAGTTACCTCACAAGAATTGAAGCACATACCGCTAGGTGAGCTCATCTGCCAGTCGGTGGGCGTGCTTCGCTATCGAACGCCCACCGACCGGCTAACCGCTGCCGCAAGTATAGCCGTTTAGCAGAGAGAGAGCGTTAGCGTTGAAGAGGGCACGATGAGAGTCGCATCAATGCGGAAATCAACGGGCAAGGAAAGGGTCCCATTTCTCGGGTTCTGGGCCGTTTTTCATGGTTTTTTCTTCATCCCGGCACCACTGACCACCTCTACCTTGATTTTAATAGGCTGCCTTCTAATCGCTAATTCCGCCTTCAACCATGCAACGTAGGCATCGCTCAAAGGACGCTTATAGTCAGATGCTGAAGGAGCTCGAAAAAAAAAGCAACTGAAAGCCTATGTCTTTAGCTGTTTTTCTCTGTAGGCCTACAATACAATGGGTGCTTTCAGGCTGCACCCTGTGACTGCAAACTCTCGAATGGTGAAATGCTGAAGACGGGCGATCGTATTTCCGACAAAGTAGAGGTGGACCGCGACACAGGCGCAGCCATACCTCTTGATGTGACCAAGGTAGGCGTTAGACTAACCGTCGAAGAGCTCTACTTTATGTGAAAACCAGATTGGTCCCCCGGCAACCACCGGGACCTCCTTACCTGCGTAAGCTTTACTCCTTCCAATGTGCTCCCATCCACTGGTGACATGGACACCTCGTGGAGGTGGCACGCATGCACAAAAAAGTGTCTTATATAGTAGAAGGCATTACCGTAATCGTGACATGACCTTAGAATGATATTAATTGGACCTCAGGTCTTTTGGCGGTTAGCTCCCCTCGCCCTTCTCCATCTTATCCTATTCCCTCTACTGCTCTCCAGCTGCTATTGCAGCATCATGTGGAATGAATGAGACCATGCTCAGTAGGTGTTTATATAGCCGTTGGGGTGTTATCACATTGATAGCACTGCAAAACATTGATTGCTAAAGTCATAGTTACTCGATTTTGTTAACGGTCTGTTTACTTCACGAGTTTCCCTACCACTTCATTTTGCGGACGGACACACAGACATACATACATACATACATACACACACACACATACAGACATACAAACCGACACACAAAGTTAGCGCTTTATAAAATAGAAGGATAGAACTTGCAGCTGTTGCCACATCGACGCCTTTGGCTGACCATTTGTGTGCGGTAGGCGCAAGTGGGCGACGCTTCACCACAGTGGATCATCAGGTTAACGCTATTTTCTGCTCTCGTTAGGCCTAGTCTGAGAAGCTTCCAAGCTTATATCATCAACCTACGCCTCTTCTGAAGTCTTTCGTTAGACGTGGTGGTGTTTGAGCGCAGCAGTCAGCATGTTTCCTGATCACAATAGTTTCAGCTTTACTACTGTCTACACATGGTGGCTGAACGAGCTCTTCTACCAGTCGTTGTTGTCATGGCCGTTCTTGCTTGTCTGATGAGATTTCTCCTTGACGGCAGTCAGTCGCTGTTTTCGACAAGGTAGCTTCCCCGATTTAATATTGGTGTTCTTATCGAGCATCCCTTCTGAATTCCATTTAGATTCGTCTTCGCCATTCCGTCACTTATCGTTCTGCCACTGACTGCTCCCACCTTCTTTTTCATCATACGTTTCGTGCATCGGCGGTATGTTATAATTTTTATCTACCCAATATTGATCAAAATGGAGTTGTCATTTGTTTAGGGGCAACTCCGCTGTCTGTGATGTGTTGAGGACTCGGAAAGGTGAGAATAATTTACTTTTTAGAATCAGATCAGGCGCTATCGCAAGATGCGGGGACATTGCGGAGGAAATGCATTTGAAGTCGTGTGAAATAAAACCCTTCCTTTTTTGTGAAGACAGGCACCAAGTACTAGGCGGTGAGGAAAAACTGTAGTGTCCGTGCCTCCTAGGCTTAGTCCTAGAGGATGCCCCGTATCTTGCGATAGTGCCGCAAATCTTTTTCATAACATCCATTCGCAGTAAGGCAGTAAGGGAAGTCTTGCGCGCTACCCTCCACAACATAACTTACACTGGCCGGAGAAAATGGGGAATTTCGGATTTAGTTTTATTTCTCTCTCCAACTGCCAAACACTACCTGAAATTATTCCAGTAGTTTGTGTTTGCTTAGTTCCGAGTTACACAGCTTCCAGAAAAAAAAACCGTTCGCTCCTGGTAAGGTTCTTGGTATATTTCCGTCTTTGTGCAAGATGCCACGCTTTTGCTTTTAGCAAACTGGAAACTTTAGTTGGGGGCCTCTGACAGGACGTTGTATCATGTCGATTAGGATGAAGCCAGCCCTGGTTTGGTCGTAGCAAGCCTAACCCCATGCTTAAAGACAAGTTTCGGGCTCAGCCTCACTGAAGAGATCTCTCCCATGGACAGAAGTTTTAGGTCTACCTGCAGTAGCAGTGTTCCTAAAGGCGTCAGTAATACGCTGGTGTCAGGACATCTGTCAACAGGCAATTAGTAATATCGAATATAATAATAATATCGGTTTGTAATGCTATCTGAGAGCTAACACGCATGCACATTTTTACATCATCTGCTTTCTTTATTTCCTTGAAAGGTATAGTTCTAGTTATACCAAAGGTGCGTATGCTTTTCCAACCACACTCAAACCATTTTGTTGACAGAAGTCTTGTGACCTTAAAACGCTCTGCCCTAGAATTTGGATCCTTTTACGCCCGGAAGGATCCGTACCTACCCAACAGCCGATGTCTATCTGTGTCTCATGTCGATTAGGTGTGCTCTCTCGCCTCGCACTTGTTTTCCCTCTCCGCGACTCAGATTATCTCTCATCTCGCTCTATGCTTCTTACGATTAGACTTCTACTCAGTAAAAAACCTTCGTATTTATTTGCTTTCAACGTATTCTTTCCTCTTTTTCTCCGCTTGCGGTACCCTTCGCATCCCTACGTTTGTATTCGAGTTAGGTTGCCAAATTAAGTTAATCCTGAACATTGCCTTCAAGTTGAACAAAAGGCCAAGCATAAGCGTAAGCCTGAGTCTAGTGGGGGGGGGGGGGGTGGGGCAGGGGAAGCTATGTGGTCTTCAATCACTGCATGGACTGGTGACTAGATCTGTTCATAGAGCTGAAGCGCCTCCCTGATTCCGACCGATCACCCTATTTGTGAGTCCTTTTGTTGAAATCAAATTCGTAAGTATTAAAAGTCTTTTCAGCGAATGACGTGAAGGATTTTGTTACGTTGTTTGGAAATCTAACTGGGACGTCGTTCTTCGACAAAAAAGGAGTGCTGTCACCAATGAATCCTTGTTTGGACAAAGTTGTGTTCTTTCGGCCCAGTGACGAAGGTCGGTTATACAGGTTGACTTCAGAATTTTTGTGATCCTTTCAGGGGATTACTTCGCAGTGTTACATATTTTGTACCATGGACTACTATCGGGTTATCTCCTCCATCTTCTGCAGTGTGGTACTTTCAGAGCAGTCTAAGGAAGCTCCCACTCTTGAGATCATGGACTTAAGCTCTGAGCAACTTGTCGATGGGTCATGGAGTGTCGATTTTGATGATCCCAATTGGTGGGTTGGAGAGTGATAAACTTCGTGCGTACCCCACAGAGGCCCGTCGCGCGGCACGAAGACAAAGACATAGACCTGTCAGCGGACAAGTTGCAGCGCTTTCTGTTGTGGGGCGTATCCCGTCCTTCTCCCAGGGGAACGCTTCTCTCACCGCTGGTTCTATCCTCAGCTTGGGGGAGACAGGGTTGCGTCATAGGACCCGCCTACTGAACGCGTGATGCTGCAGCCACCCTCCCCCGCTGTGGCACTTTCTTCTCTGAGAGGTCGCGCTCAGAAACGCAGACTATGGCTGATCCTATGATGCAACCCTGTCTTCCTCAGACATACGATAGGATCAGCGACTGGGGAAAGGATGGGATACGGCTCATGATTTAGTGTCAAGTCGAATGAATATATAACAATACGTCTTACATCGCACAGCACGCAATTTGACTCGTCCGCTGACCCGTCTGCGTCTCTGCTTTCTCGCCTCGAGAGGAGCCTGTTGTCGGGCACCTAAATCTCATAGTGTTCATCCCTTCTTGGAAGATATTCTTCATCAGTATCAATTTTCTTTCTGTCCAGGTTGGAATTTGTCTACTTTCTGAGCGTTGTATTCCCAGGTCCCGGTATGAGTCAAATTTGCGAGTGATCGGCCAGTGCTTGCTTTTAAATCGATGCGATCCGAAGTTCCCGTCGTTTCTGGACCATCTTTCAGCTGTCGCTACCACAGTACCGCGCACAATCGCAACGGCGTGTAGGCGATGCTCATGCGTGTTTCCGCAACTCATCGGGTACGTCGTCAGAGACCTGATCTGAACATGCCTCTATTCTTGTTTTTGTAGGTTTAAACCGAATGCATCGGACCAGTTCCAGAAGATGCCAAACGTGCTAGGATTCTATCAGCGTCAACCCGGAGAAGCTCCATTGCCAGGGTCTGCGTCACAGCTGCGGTTGTTACTCGATCCATGTTATACAGTGTATTTAGGCTCACGAAGCACCAAACTCCACTAGAAATGGCGTACTGTACAATTCACGCCGATGATCGTTCGCTGTACTACCACCTTTCATGTCAAGGAACGGCGAGCCTCGTGCTAGAGGTATGTGCGACCCACTTTTCGTTGCGTATGAGCGACTGAACCAGTGAGCGGAGAGCGACTTGAAGACATGGGTCGGGATCGAATTAGTGCGTTATATTGTTCAAAAATTAGGCAAGGAACTGCAATGAGGAACACTAGTGGGGAAAAAGCAAAAAGCGTCATAGAAAACAAAATTTCCCTTGTGAGGCCGGCCGTGGTATGACGGAGAGACACAGCGCTGCGAGGAGAGGGAAAACGCGAGAGAGCACGTCGTACGCGAGAGGGCGCAGACCCACGTATGCCGTGGTAGAGGCAGCACCGGCAGCGGACAAGGCAAGGCCTTAGTTTCCGTGCCTTGCACTCTTGAGTTATGGACCGTGTCGCGACTCCGTGTTTACGGATCCCTCTTTATCTTTCAAAAAAGAACTGGCTTCTGGAACTAATCCCGTTCCGTGGTCCTAAAGGTTGCGATTACGATAAAAGGGCCGCTTTGAGGGAGTCCTTGCGCCGCGTGAAGCAGTACCTTGGCTGCGAGATAAGCGAGATTTAGCGCTCCTAACGGCAAAAGTGTGCTGGTTGCTTGAAAGATGCCATGCCCCTTACGCGCTCCAGCCACTAGCTTAGTTGGTGATTTGGCGGGTTGTGTTGCCAGCAGCGGCACAACTGGAGCAACTCGACTGGAGCATGGATTAACATGGTGCCACCAAACGCAATGCAGTTAACTCGTCCATACGTCCGCCGTCTTACCGCCGTCGTCCTTAATGCATAGCTTTCAGGCTTGAAAAGGCAATGGGACCTATAGGTTAACATCATGTTGAAAGCATTTGTAATTTTGCGAAGGTTGTAGGCCTCCAAGGGAAGAACTTGAAGTCTCACATCACTTTGCAGCCAAACGCATGTGGATCAATCCTTAATTTGTACTCTTTAGAATGTTTAGGCTTGCTCGCATGTGTGGGATGGCGAACAACTCGTACCTATCACGGAACGAATACTTAAAAGTGCCATAGATTTCTATCAGAGACATTCTGTCACTGGGTGAGTTTCTTTTTTCCGTGTTGCTTTCTTCTTTAGTTCCTTTTGTGTCTTGTATCGAATACGACATTGCTGTATAAGCTACTTCAGGTACTGTCTCGCTTTGTCGTACCGTGCCGTTGGAATGGTCTTTGATGATGTCCTCAAAGACCGCTACTTTGAGGTCCCATTACTTCGTCGTCATCCACGAAGTGGTGCTCTAGCGAGAACTCACAGCATAGGTTTTTGGACATTTTTCAAAAATCCTTCCAGAGTGTTCTCAAAAGCTGAGATTCCAGACAGTTCTCAGAATGACCCGTTCTTCGATCGGACACCTCTGAAAACAGCTGATGAAGTGGTGCAGAGATGGTTCACTGGACACGTTCTGTGTGGAATGATCGTCACCCAGTACGAGGTTAGTTAGTTCCGTCGACTTACTCATCATTTCTTCGTAGAGGAGCTCATGTTTTCATGCTCGGCCGGTTTCAAAAATTTTACGGCTCGTCTCCTCTGGGGACGATTCAAGATAAGGTCGAATGAGGGGCGACATTTCTGGTGGAAAGACAGACGGATTCTCAAAGGGAGCGGACCTACACGCAATTCGCAGTGAAGGATATGACCGGCGACCTAGCATGGCCATCCCCGCGGCGCTATCGCGCGGCACGCCCACCGACTGGCTAACCACTCGCCGCAGGTCTCTAGCCGTTTAGCAGAGAGAGCGTTAGCGTTGAAGAGGGCAGCACCGATGAGAGTCGCATCAATGCGGAAATCAACGGGCAGGCAAGGGGCCAAGGTCCCAGGTCCTCGGGTTCCGAGCCCTAACCCATGGTTTTTTCTTCATGCTGGCATCACTGACCATCTTATCAGGAAATGCGCCTCATCGCCGTTTTACCACCATGTTTGTTTCTACAGTTTTTAATTGAGACCAGTTGACACGCTTCGGTTCCCTCGAATTCCCCCGAAATTCCCGGGGAGGGGGTCAATTGAGTAATGGAGCAACAAATGCTGTAAATTTGCAGTTTTCGCAACAACTTCGTCAAAACTATCAACAAATCCGTCAAAACTACCCTTACTTGTTAGCTTCCCAACCACGCTCTCTTCACCACAAATACGACCCCCCCCCCGTTTCCCGTTCCCACTTTTCGAAGAGATGGTCAACCTTAGCCAACCCTAAATCGCGAATACTCTTGTTCGAACTGTCGTGGTAGACGGTTGACCCCAGTTTTGAAATTTGTTGTTGGTGTCTTAGCAAATTTTCATTCGTGCTTTGCAGGTAATGCCTAACGCCGTGCAGCTCGTTGATCAACTAGAAACCCTGTGTGTTCGATTTGTGTATTTTTCTCGCGAAAATGAACTGAGAAGCAGAGTCTTTGCCGAAAAACTTGGTAATTTTGTTAGCTGTAGAAAAAATTCTCGTTGAAAATGTCGTTGTTTAGGGCTGGAAGCCGGCTGGAATTGCCACGTTTCCTTGGCCGAAGTGGATCCCGATGCCACCGGACGAACATTGAAGGATTACTTTTTGTCCAAAAGTAAGGAGTTCCTCTTTGACTTCCCTTTCATTCCACAGCTTTTTGAGAATGGGAGATGTGTTTTTGTGGGAATCCTCATTCCAGCTTTTTCAGCTTTTCTTGGTTCAAGTCCTGCGCTCAGATCTTCAGTCCTAAAGCACCAGTCACGGTACCGTTCCCGCTTTTGAGAACTCGATTTTCTTCCAAATGTTACTGGATTACAGATCTGATGACGATCTGCACACGTATTTCTTGTTGACCTCCAACATCCAAGGTTCTCCCATAGAAAAAAAGTACAGCCA